ATACCTGAATAGAATCATAGAATATCTTGAGTCAAAAGAGACTCACAAAGATCATTGGCTTCTGGCCCTGCACAGGACAGCCCTAAGAATCTGACCATGTGTCTGACTTATCTAAATGCTTCTTGCATTCTGGTAGCCTTGATGCGATGGTCACTTCCTTGTAATTTGATGGGAAAAATATAATACTGAAATACTAATAAAACTCTATTTCCAGGATTTATGAAGAAATAGTAATAAAAAGCACAGGAAAACTCAGGTGGGAACAGAAAGTCCTTATTATTTCCAGAGATGGAAATTTTAGAACCTATCAATACAACCTGTTCAATATTTTTATTGATGACATGGATGAGGGAATTGAATCCTTCATTAGTAAATTTGCCAACAACAGTAAGCTGGGAGCATGCGTTGATCTGTTGGAAGGTAGGAGGGCTTTGCAGAGAAACCTGGAATGGTTGGATGGATGGGCAGAGTCCAACAAGTTTAATAAGTCCAAGTACCAGGTCCTGCATTTTGGCTACAATAAGCCCCTGCAATGTTATAGGCTGGGATGGTGTGGCTGGACAGTGAAGTACCAGGTCCTGCATTTTGGCTACAATAAGCCCCTGCAATGTTATAGGCTGGGATGGTGTGGCTGGACAGTGTCCAGGCAGGAAGGGACCTGGATGACAGCTGGCTGAACATCAGCCAAGAAGGTGGCCTGGTGGCCAAGAAGGCCACTGGCATCCTGGCCTGGATCAGGAATAGTGTGGCCAGCAGGAGCAGGGAGGTCATTCTTCCCCTTGGTACTGGGCACTGGTGAGGCCACACCTGGAGTGCTGTGTCCAGTTCTGGGCCCTCAGTTTAGGAAGGATGTTGAGACTCTTGAGCGCGTCCAGAGGAGGCAACAAGGCTGGTGAGGGGTTTGGAACACAGCCCTGTGAGGAACAGCTGAGGGAGCTGGGGTTGTTTAGCCTGGAGAAAAGGAGACTCAGAGGTGACCTTATCAATCTCTACAACTCCCTGAAAGGTGGGTGTGGTCAGGTGGGGGTTGGTCTCCTTCACCAGATAGCAACTGACAGAATGAGAGGACACAGTCCCAAGCTGTGGCAAGGGAAATATAAGTTGGCTATAAGGAAAAAGTTTTTTATAGGAAGGGGGATAAAGTACTGGAATGGTCTGCCTGGGGAGGTGGTGGAGTTACCATCCCTGGATGTGTTTAAAAAAAGACTGGATGTGGCACTCAGTGCCATGGTCTAGTTTTTGGTGTTAGGGCATGGGCTGGACTCAGTGATCTTGGAGGTCTCTTCCAACCTAGTCATTCTGTTGAATTCTGTGACAATGTTTAACCAATTTTATGGTGAAAAACACTTTACACATAATTAGAATGTTCTGTGTTCCAATTTCTCTGTCACCTATCATTCTACCCCAATGCACTTCTGAGAACACTCCTGTGCTGTCTTCTGTATGTCCTTCCTTTACCTGACTGCAAGCAGAAGACTAACCCCTCCTGACCCTTCTCTTGTTGCACTTAAAACCCTTTGTTTCCTCAGCCTCTTTTCACACCCCAGGTGCTCTCTAGCCTCTTGCCTTCCTGGCAGCCCTGCATAGAACCTGCTTTAGCATGCTGATGTCTTTCTTGTAGGGGAATGCTCAAAACTGGATGAGGCACTCAAGATGTATCCTCAAGGGCTTCAAACAGAAAGGATGAATCACTTGACTTGGTCTGTTGGCTACACTTATACTGCTGCAGCCCAAGGTGCAGCTGTCCTGTGCTGCAAGGACACACTGCTGACTCAGAGAATCACTTAGGCTGGAAAAGATCTCCAAGGTCCTGAAGGTCTTTTTCTGTAAGGTTGTTTTCTATTCCTGGCTGTGTTGTAAACAAGGGGATACTCCATCCCAGATGCATTTTCAAGTAATTTATGAATTTCAACTTGATAACTTCCATTCAGCTCATTTCTCCAGTCTGTGCAGGTCTAGGTTGCAGCAGCCTCACCTCTATGAGGCCACTGGATTTGTCAATCCTTAATATTAAATATCTACAAGGACTACTTTATATCCTTTCCCAATAAGCAGCCTAAATTAGACCTAACACTGACAGCTGTACAGGAAAACTGTAATTGAAATTTTATTTATTTGACCATCACAGCAGTAGCTGTCTACCTATGCCACAACATATCCCAGCTATTTCTTCAGTGTTCTTGAAATGAAGGATCTTATGAGTTTATCAATTAGACTTGCTTTATTTTTTTTTTTAGTGAATCTGAAAAAAATTTATCTACATAAGGAAAACATAAGTTTCCTGGTAGTAAAGTGTGAAAAACATAGGCATTTCTAAGTGAGAGAACTCTACTGAGAAAAGCATATACAAAGCAGGTATGTTTTCCATGTTATTCAGTTTATTAGACTGCATTTTTGCTACTTGTAATATACAGAAATTTCAGTATACTGCTTCAGGCACTCAGGCGCAAATGCCAGTCTATTCAAGAGACTTTCAATAACAAATGGCACATCACTTCTACCAATTTCAGGAGCGAGTAGAAATTCAGTTGAGAAAAAGTCTCTTGGCTGACCAGTTTGCAAACACTGTGTTCAAAGAAGAGTAGGCTAGGCTTGAGCTACACTCTTCAGTTTGAACACTAAGGCTCCTTCAAAAAAAAAAAAAATCCAAAACAACAAAAATACCGAAGAAACTGCTCAAAACAGTGATAAAGAATATGAAACAGAAACTAAAAGTTTTAAGGATTTGCTAACAGTACATTTCTTTTATATGTGCTTAAGGTTATCTTTAACTATGAAGAACTCTAAAAATATGCTAGCAACTAGTTGCTCCCCCCCTCCATACCAAAGAGAGTGACAGACTGATAGATCTGGTCCAGAAGGAATAAGCACTTCAGCTGGAGGAATGGACCAGCATAGAATATGACTCCTTATGGAGTGTATCATGAAATTTTAATATTCAGCAGGCTGAGTAATGAACTGTTCATAGTCTGCCAACAAGGAAACCAAGGAAAGGAAGAGCTCACAAGCTTTATCCTAACTCATGGTCTAAATCCTTTTTAGCAAAATTCCTATTGAATACAGTTGCAAATTCCCTAAAAAAATGACTACAGATCAAGGATATGTAAAAGAACACAATGCTAAAGAAACATTCTCAAATGTGGATGAGCACTGGAAAGTCACCATAGCAGGCAGAAATGTACTTGACTTCATTTTGTATTTGTGTTAATTCCAAGCCCCTCCAATGATGATTTAGAATTTTTTGGGCAGAAGATTACTCGTTTAATACATATGGGATAAACAACCAAACATAAACAGTATTAGATCATTATTTCCTCTTTACATCACTTGCCAAGTCTAGGACAGCTATCTAACTGTAAGCTTTCGATGTCATCTTCTGCAAAACAGTATTTCAGGTATTTCTTAAAATGTTTTTAGTTGAAATGCTAGAAACTCCTGGTCACATGTAAAACATTTCAAGGGCAAATTACAGATGTCAAAAATATGCATAAAATCTCTTCTATTATTCTATTCTGTTATTCTTCTGTTATTCACAGACAGATTAGCAGTCCAGTTATTGAACTTCTTGAATAACTCATGTCTCAGAGCTCATTCTGAGTCATCCAACCTTGATATCTCAAAAGTATAACTTTATAAATAATAAAAAAGTTCACCAAGGAAACATCTCCTGCACAACAAGAAATTTCCCAAACTTCATACCACTGACTGGAATAATCCTAAAATAACAGCATTATTTAAACAAACCTCAGTAGTATTACTCAAACGTATTTCAGATAACTCTCTTGAAATGCAGTTATACCATATATAAAATTTAAAGTGCTAGGGAAGCACACTTGACATACCAATATAGGCCATGCTTAAACAATTTTAATTAACATACTTCCTCTAACGTTAACGAGTCTACATGGTGACAAACTTTATATAAAGTAAGAATTTATCCTAAGGAGTTAATTCTCACCTGATTTATTTAAGGAATATTTAAGGAATGCTTACATTTAAGTCAACTTCATGTACAGTTTCTGAATTAGTGACAGATTTTTCTGACTTTTGCCATTTTAATTTAACTTGCATTCCATATTTTTGTTACATCTTTGGCATTCTACTAAATAATTATTTCCTACTTACCACGGAAGAATTATTAATTTGATTGAAGTATAGTTTGAATAGCTTAAACTGAGAAAGTGATCAATGCTTTCTGTATTTTTACTACAATTATCACGCAAAAGTTGGCACTAAGCTTGGAATGTCATACTTCACATTATCTATTCATATTTCCACTGATAAAAACAGAAGACGTGTCTTTAGTACTTATTTTTTTTTCTCAATTCTTGAAAATCAAGTACCATCATCTTACATTTATTAGGTTCACTGAGAAAACAAAGAAACACACCTATCAAGAAGCTAAAAAATGCAGTCTTTACTTCCACTAAATTCACCAAGACATCAGTTTCCTTTTGTTACAATTTCTTAAATAAACTTGTCATCCTCCAAACAACGTACCAGAACAATTTCTTGAAATAAACCAATGTTTAAACAAAGAGAGTGATTTATATCTTCTTACTACATTTTGATGACAGGTCAGTAGCTTTACATAATTCATTCTAAAGTTTTTAATACCCTGAATTATGAAATAATGATTAAACAGGTTCACAAAACTTACCAGTACATTTCTGCAATTATGAAACTAAAAATCTTCAGCTCAAAATTACAGCTCTATTGATGGTGGAAACAAGTTGCTGATAATCCATTCAAACTCCAGCAAAGCAATGAATTCCAAATGTGACTGCTATTTTGTTACTGGACAAAGAAGATACAAAATTGCAAGAAATTTTCTTTTTAAAAAGTAAGTCATATTGCAAATTTTCAAACTCTACTAAAATCTCACACTCTCTAGAGTATATTTTTTTTTTACAAAAATATTATCAAACTTGTTCTTGGTGATAACTCATAACAGCAACAAAATTTACTAATTATAAAGACATCAACGATATGTACATTACCTAATGCTGCTCATGCTTCCAGTTTCTGATCCAAGCTTACATCTCTCCAGCTGGCTGGCTACAATCTGACGTTCAGCCTCAAGTTCTCGAGTCAGTCTCTCAAACTGTAGTTCCTGAAAAAAGTAAGTTAAACCATTTGCTTTGACTTCTCTTGAGATTAAGAAGGAATTTCAGCACAAAAAATGAAATGTGTGCAAGAACTATTAGCATAATACCTTATAACAAAGCTTTCTTTTTTATCCTTTTTTTAACACATTCAAAGTTCACATTTTTGTGGTGACACCTACTTGTTCCTTCATTTATTTTAACAATGTATGTCATAGAACGAGATAGTTTATCAGGAATGAAATTTCTAAATATATTAAAAAATCTAGCCTACAGAGTTCATGCAGATCTCTCAGTAACAGAGATCTCAGCAAACTGACCTAAATGTAATCACAAGTAAGTACAATTTGTGTTACTGAAAAAAAGATGTTAAATTCTGTGGATAATCCTGTGGTAAGAAAAGTTTCTCAACTTAAAAAGATAACCATCACAGTATACACCAGTGAAATTAACTAAATTGAAGGTGTGTTTAGATGGTCTGAGCACAGCTTACTTTCTGCAGTTAATGATATGCAGTAGGGAAGTTCAAGTAGTTTTGGCCAAATGCTAAAATTCCTACCACTAATTTAATTTATTTTGTTTTATTCTGTCAAGCAAACCAAACCAGTCCTACCAGATAAGATTTTTCCACAAAGCTTATAAAGGTACTTATAAAGTGTTTTTGTTTTTATACAAAAAAGAATATTTTTCTATTTAAAAAAAAAAAAAGTAACCCAAATATAATTAAAATTCCCCCCATTTCTTAAAGGGCGACATTTCTCACATATTGTAGCATTAGTTTTATCAAATAAAAGAATTAGATACATTTAGGGAGTTAAGGTCATTGTAAATTTGTCGAATGTTGCTGTCCTTTCATTTTGGTCAGTAACATTGCATTATTTTCACAGATAAACAAAAACATCCCTCCTGCCCCTTTTATTTAGGTTTGTTGAAGGCTCAAGGAGAAATATTTTGCAAATCCATTTCTTAAATAATTCCATTATCTACATAAATTAATCCATTATCTCTTTCTCCCTCTTCTTTTTCCAAAATGACCTCCCTGTAAAGGAAAGGTATGGGAGGGAGTCCCTTGAATAACTCCCCAGCAAGGTCCTGCCGGGTAAAACAGCACTGGAAATTACTGGAGTCACGATTTATGTCTATCAAGTGACATTGAAGGACTTAGTACTTGAGAGAAAGGAAGAAATGGTAGAAGTCAAGTAGGATTTTTAAGTGTTCATTCTAAATCCTACCTAAAACCTCTGACAAAGTAATCAAGGGTAAATGAAGGCATTGAACTTTTCAAATCTCTGAAATGAGGCAAATGATAATTGAAATGTAAGAATTAACTGGCTGGTGGTCATTCTGCTTAATTCAGCTGGATCACTCCTCTCTGTTTCTCCTGCTATTGTCACGGAATAACTTCTGTCCTGTAGTATGAGTAAAGGGAGACTTCTACATAGGTTATATTCAGCATGAAATAGTGAATATTTAAATGGCTACTGACTATGTGACAAGGCATGTTTAACTGTAAATTTATTATTCCAAACAAATCTATACAGATTTGTTTGACACTGAAAATCAGATTGATGTAAAGACCAAAATATCACAGCTCATTAAATGTCAACAGTGCTATAAAAATCAATAGTTAATAATATTCTCTGCACATTTTTGTAGTGTGCAGAAATATCTTTTTCACTGTTGTTTGAAGATACGATTAACAAAAATCACCTGACAATAATCACCTATTTCATATATGCCTCCTTCACAGAGAGCATTTCTCTCACCTAGAAGAATCAATTGCCTAAAAAGCTGGAGACGGCCTATCAGCTTTCCAAGAGTTATTATTCAAATCCAGGCCTTGTTTGCATAAAATAAAATCCTTAATGCAGAAAGGATTGTAACAGAAATATTACTAAATTGTTGAAGTATGAAAAATCAAAGTGGTACAGTATTTGCCATGCCAGCATGCTTAAATGAAAGCATGCAAGCCTGGAGAAATTTTGATAGTATAAAATACCCAAGAAAATCTAACTGATCATTATGTTTACTTTAAAAACACAAGCAGAACTTTTAACAGCTATTCTGTCCCACTGCATTTTTTAAGCCACTTGATTCTATCACAACAATGCAAATTTTGGTGTTTAGCATAGATTTTCATCCAGTCAGTTCAGCTCTCATCATCCCAGGTGAGGCAGATCAGATGTGCTCTTTGCCATGGCTTAGCATGGGCACTTGTCTTATCTGCCTAGTAAGAAGGAACAGTTCTCCCCACAATGCTGCTAAGAGAATGTTAAGCACCAAGAATTTGTGAACAAATGCTTCTCACTCTATGTCGTCCACCTGCCTTTTTCTAGACAAAAAAGTGCAGCTCATGGTGTTCTTTAAGTCTAGTAGGGGTGCAAACAACAGTTCTCTAGTCTCTCTTTTTTGTCCATGCTATCCCAAGACAATTAAATACAGAAATGCCCCAAACCTATTTTACTGAAATACTTCAAAAGCAAATATTATTTTGCCTTTTTTTTTCTTCAACTGTCTGGATTGTATATCTTCTCATTTCTTTTCTATGCTTTGTATTCCTTCAGCTAATCACACTTTTCCAGAAACTTCTAGATTTCCTCAACTAATATCCTTTTGCTGTCATTACTTTGTCCCCAGAATGTTTTTTGGCTCACGATTCTAGTCTCCAAAATACACTTTTCTACTCTTCACTTTGTCATTTATTTTTCTTTCCTGCTTACTGCTTTCTGTTCTCTTCTGCCTTCCATCTTTCTTTCATTTCCTAGCACATTTCATGATTCATCCTCCACTAAATCTCTTTCTGTTCCTATTACACTAAGTGCTACTCCAGCAAATGCCCTAAACTGATTGGTTTAAGGAGTTTCTCTCATTCTCTCTCTCTCCTTGGTTCCTTATTGTGTTCTGTTCTTAAGATGTACAAACTGATGTTTTCTCATTTCATTGCCCACATTATTTAAGTCCTGCCCTGAAGAGATGACTAGAAAAGGACAGTTGTACCTACATTACTCATCAAGCAGGAAGCAGAGATGTACCTGATCAGTTAAGAAATAAATAATCTTGGGATTGTAATACATGAAAATGACGAGGAAACATGAACAGAAAGTTCACTACTAGCTTTATAATTGCTACTATTTTTTATTTAATTATCTTCTGTCAGGTGCCACCAGAAATCAGAAATGAAAGGAAGGAGACAAAAGGTGGGGAGGTGCGATATGTGCAGGGCCAAACAATTATAACTTGAAGAATTATTTTCCACATTAAATTTAATAAGCAACTGTTTTTGGTATTCCCTCATGCCATGAAAAAGGCGCAGATCCACAGGGTTGCCTTTGGACTGAAAAAATGAAAGAAGAATTCAAGTAAGACTTGTGAATCTGTTTTCCCTCATACCAAGAAATCCTGGCAGAAAACAAATTAATAAGCTTCCTTCCCTTTGTTTGGAAAGCAGTGAGAGTGACTAATATTTGAATAAATCCATATGTTTAGATTTCAAGCAGCTGTCACAGTGCTTGACAGAAAGAAGACAGAAACCACAAATAGCATTTGCTTACATTTTATAAAAATAATCACCAAACCTGACTCCATCATTTGTCTTATTTGTTGTGTTTACAATCATTTTCACCAGTTCATGCCACGTTGTGTTATCTTCACAACTTTCTATTATTTATCTGAATTGAGCTAATAAGAACATCAAAATTAAAAGCAAATTCCTACTCACTGATTATGCAAATCTGTTGTCAAGACAATTGCAGAATGAAGAACAGCAGAAACTACAATGCAACATCAAAATTAATTTACATAATAAGATGTCAAGAGCAGCCTCAAGGACTGTGCTGCAAAGGGCAATAATGCTCAAGCAAGTGCCCATGCAAAGGCACTACAAAGTGCAGTGATCAGTACAGCAGTCCTTAGAACTTAGCACCAGGAGAGGGTGTGGGAGTGCAAAGTCACCAGAGATCAGAGATAATGATGAGAGTAATTCAGAGAAACCACTCAAGAGAGCAACTTGGAAAGGGAGGAACTTCATGATAACCTTATCAAATTGTTTTGAAGTGATACAAAGTATTTATCTGCTAGGGCCTGAAGTAATTTATGTTTAAAAATTGGTATCTGTTCACAACCATGATGGGGCTTATTTTTTTTTAAAAAAAAATCATTATTCCATAGATGGCAATTCAATGTACTCTCTTTATCAGCATGAGTTTTGTATTTTCTATATATCTATCCTCTGCAGCCACCAAAGCTTCAAGCACAGTATAAGACTTGAGTCAGGTCATAACATTTCCCAGTGGTCCAGACACTGAACAAGAATGATGGAAATCTTCACAGCCTTTGGACAAGTTAGGAGCTCTTGAGTTCAGGACACACCAAACCAGAGGGTATTTCATTATTTTTTATGCTTTACATCTCCTGGGTCATCTGTATTTGAATGTTGGAAAAGGTAAAATACAGCAAAAGAAATTTGGCTGGTATTTGGAGTTGATCTCATTTTACTTTGCCCTTTACAATCTTAAAATAATCCTTTAACCCTTTCACAAAGGCATGTGTATTGATGCTAAGTAAAAGACATAGCAAAATTGGTAGTGACAGTAAAAAGCAGCTACAAAAAAAAATTTAAAAAATCTAAATTTAGGCACAAGAGGCTTGCAGAATTACTGGGTTCTTAAGAATCTTTAGGTCATGACATTAAAAAGGAGAAGTGTTTAGCTTTTGATTGCAAATATGCTATACAAACCTAACTGGGGCACTGGCGATCATTTGAATTTTCAAATACAGACAAATAACAGCACTAAAAATCCAGGTTGGGAATGCCTGGTGAGATGAAAACAGGAACCTGATTACAGCTACACAAACAAATAAGTCATCTCTGGGACTGAAGTCTGTCAAAGGAGTATGTTAGAAACCACAGAACTTCAAAAAGTACACAGGCTGTAGAAGTATACAACATTGGCTTGACCTTTTTGTAACTTGTTAAACAAGAAAAAACTTCAATTAATATCAGGAGTAT